TCTCTGATAACTGCGAAGAGGTGGGTTATTAACCTATATGTTTCTTCATATGTCATGAAACTTCTTTTATTTGAATTTCAATAAAAATATTTCAAGCAAATTGAGGGCATGCGGTTTTCTTCCACAACCCTATTCGTAGCATTTTATTTCACGATTTTGAGAAACTGTGATCAGAGGGGATGAATAGTCGTTTTTTCTTTTTCTTAATTTTGCTACTTCTACTTTTGTAGTCAAGATAGCCCAGTTTGAGATTTACATGGTATATATCTCGTGCCAAAAATTTTATTCACTAGGACTATGTCTGAAAGCTCTGCAGGATATTTCTATTGGAAAACTAATTTTTTCGGCCATTTTTATACGAAAACCTCTCATTGTTTGCATAGCAAACATAGCTCAAAGCTGTGGTGATTTCTTAAAGTGGAAAATCGTTAATTTTTCAATGATCTATATTTCAGTGCATATTATTAGCTCTCGAATTGTCTTTCATAATTTTGCCGCTTGCTATAGCCTTTCTTCATCCTTTGTTGATTATCTGGTAAGGATTTCCGCCTATTCGTTTTTGTTTACATTTGTTTCCGGAATTTCAGAACGACCTTTACAGGTTTGTCTTTCCTATGCGAGACGCTGCCGTCAGAGCATACCCTTGTCTTCGTACAATTCTGCCAGAATACGCCATGGTACCTCCACCACCTGTACCGAGAAGATTTCAAACAAAGCCATGTATGTTCTCTCACCTCTTCCTTTCCTATTTCGTAACAAGGTTTCAAGAAGAGTTCATTATTTCAGTGAGCCCATTAACGGACACTATCTCAAAAGCGTCGGACCTCCCACATCGACATTCAGTGATGGCTACACTGCCAGAGAAGGAAGAAGTCGCCGAAACAAGCTTTCAGATAGATAAGGTTTAGCATAATGTACTATTGATGACCGGCGAATCAAAAAAATTTATTGGAAGATTGGATAAAAGGAAAATTATCTAATCATGTTGATTTTTCTGTGCCATATGGTCTATCCATTATAAAGGAACCCAATGGATTACAATTTAAATTCTAAAATAGTAATTCTCTCGGAACTTCCCTCTATGCTATTCATAAATAACAAATTATAAGCAATTTCCAAAATTATTAGGATTCAAAAAAAACTAAACAACTTATTAAAAGTTATACAACTTATGCCTACCTCACCTACACCACGCCCCTTAGAGTGATTTTACTTGACTCCTCAAGAATTTGTACGAGCAGCACTATTGAGTGAATGTTCGCTTTTTTGAATGTGTCCCTCTGAGGAAGTAGGGCAAATGAAAAGGTTTTTTGCCATAAAAATTTAGCACTCTTTAATCACTTTGAGCAGAATGCAAGGGTAGTTTTACTAACACATGGCTGATGAAATCTTATTTTAAAAATATTACATTTACATACAACAAAGCACAAATGCTTATGAAGGCTTGTTCATTCAATTCAAATGAATTCAACCCTCAAATATTTCATGGAGGAGGTTTGGTAGATGAACAGCGAGGCTTAGTACTTACATCGTACTAAATTGAAAATAGCAATCGAAGCTCGAAGTAAACGAACTCGCAAAAGATCAAACCCGATAGGCACATGTTCAACCTACTCTCTTCAAATCTCCGTCAATAAGAGACATATTATATTTACATTAATCTATTTGACAGAATATTAGTATAAATATCGTTTGCTCTGCTTGTTTTCGAGACTTTTTTCCAGATAGTCCAATTCTTGCGATGAGAGATCCAGGATACGGGCAATAGCATATACGTTGGCTAGTTGGCTGTTTACATCACTGCAACAAGTCAAATTGACTAATTTTTTTTATATTTTGAGGGTTTAGCTCACCTCAAAATGTACTTAACGACAGAGAATCGTGACGAAGGGCTGTTATCTCGCGTTTGAAATGAATCCGAACTGCTGCCGCCGCTGTGTAGAAGCCCTGAGAAAGAAAAAATTTAGAAATAATTTCTTTCTAGATTAAAATAGGAATTCTCATTGAAATGTAAAGGTATATTGGTCATACACCAATAAATCTGAAAAGTTACCGCTGTTATCTCTCATTGTCCTCTTGAGTTCATTAATAACGCTTTGTTGAGTATGAATAAGAATATCTCGTTCCCGAATCTCATTCTCCAAACTCAGTACTCTACGTTCCCACTGAAAAATACCAGTACAATAAGGAATACATCTAAAAACTAAGAATGGGAGCTTTGTGTACGCTGATGGTGAAAACTATAAAATGTACAAGTTGGGAGCTTTTCGTTTAGTCAATAGTTTGCTTTTATTCATCGTATCAAAATGCTGAGTGAAGGAGAACAAAAATTTCATGTTAAAGATGTCTGTTTGGAATCCTTTTAACATGTAAAAATTATGTTTTAAGCAAAAGTAAGATGTGAAAAAAGCGGAAGGGCGAAGTTCATATTATAAACTGACCAAATTTCAAATAAAATTTGATAAATCCTATAAATTACCTTGTTAGCGATTTGAGCGATACTTGTGCTTGCCAGAATCTCTTTTTGTTTTTCTAATTCCCTCTGCATGTCCTCTAATTCTATCGATAGAAGCACATCCTTAAAGTGCAAGGCATAGTCATTATAGAACAAACAATTAACATCATTTTGTTGAAATTGACTAACCTTTGCCAATGCATCGCCTTTTTCCGTTTCTATAGTTTTTTTCAACGCATTCAGTTCCTCCTGTACTTTATCTTTTTCCTTTGCTGACAGTGCTGATTTTTCCTTTTCACTATCCAGTTCGTCCCTATGACATTATTCCCGGATAAGATACCTTCTACATAGAAATAAAACCTTATTTACCTTAGAGATTCGATAATTTCTGTTTGCCGCTGAGCAGTTTGCTTCTGCTGTTCAGCAACTTCATTGTTTTTCTCGATTGTCTTGTTCAGCTCAGCCAATTTCTCTTTCAAAGCTTTGATTTCGTTGTCTTTCCTTTCAACTAGCTCACACAATTCTGTGATTTCGGATGAGAGCTCGGTATACTGCTGAAACCGACAAAGTAGTAGTGAAACTTTTATTTTATTATTGATGCCTGAAAGGAGTACACGTAAAACTATAGGGTTTTATATTTTTCTAGCTTCCCTCGTCTTAGAACTCTCTTTATCAAGGTAAGTATTTGAACAGGCTTAAGCTTCTTTGATGTCCGCCAAACAAGAAGTGTTTGGCGAGGACTTTCGATTCGTAAGAAATGGAAAATCAACACTAGCGGTTTTAGAAAAACCTGCGACGCGTGGGACAAAGATTTTCTTGAACGAAATACCTCTGTTCTCAAAAAATTGTGTTGCAGCAAGAGTCATAAGAAGAAATTCACTGCATTTGAAAGGCTCCAAAA